TTAAAACTTTGCATCGTCATTTATGGATACCCCATCGAGGAACAGAAATTATTCCTAGAGTTCTTTAATATTCGATAGACACAGCTTGAATCAAAATCACATCATGCTCGGAGGAAGCAAATAAATATTTCATTAAACATCGCACGTCCTCTGATCTGTATATCAAAATTAAATGAGTATCTAAAGCTTTTTTTGGTCCCATCACGTTCGAAAACGTCGAAACATGACGATTGAAATATTAACAGATTCTCGATGAAGGTATTACGTTTGACCACCGATAATTTTCGATATTATTAGCAACAGGCACCGCAGAAATACCGTGAATGATTCCAAAATTGGAGGCTTGTAATATGAAACAGTGAAATATCTCATCCTTAGATAGACGAGCACTGTCGCCAATTAATTAAGTAAACATTTCATTCGCATTCATGAAAACTGGCCAAACTGTCGTTAGCTTGATAATACGCAATTTGGATCCAGTGGATAAGTGGCCATCAGTCGAGTTGACACACTCCCAGCTATTTATATCTATCAGCAAACGTCGATTGATTTCTCTCTAATTACCAGTCTTCCACTCCGCGGCCAGGAACGTAATTACACGCGTGAAACGAAAATCGTTCGACCAGGTTTCGATGGAAATATCCCAGGAAATTTTCGCGACGCATCTATCTATGACGGATCATCTAATTTCCTGTTAAGCCAGCGCCGACAAGTATTCCGTATCTTTGCCCATAACGCACACGTATCTGCGGCCAATTTACATGTTGATGCAAAAAGTTTTACTCGAAAATTGGTTCTCTCGTTGGTCGAGGCTCAGCCTCAACGTTTCGCGGCCAACCTTGAAGCACGCGCAATTTCTGACTCGTTGAGGGCCTTAGACATCTGAATACGTAATTTCGTCGACGGAACCGGACCGTGATAAATGCTCGCGTTTCGTTAATAAATTCCAGCCCCGTTTTCCGTGGTTCGAAACAGTCGTGGCTCATAATGGGGAACGGCTCCTGAGGAATCGTCGAGAATCAATTCCTGTTTGTTGGCCGCGATTTTAGCATTCGCTGCCTGTAACGTCGGCATTAAAATGCTAATCGAGTTTAAAGCTCGGTCCCTCGTCGCTGGCGAAAGAGAACGCTCGCGAGGCAATGACATGGTCAATTTATGAGAGAGATTATAGGTGATATTAATGACTGCATTTGGTGGAATTTGACGCTGAGCGGAGATTAAAATGTTGCGCGTAGGGGCAGGTATTATCAGCGATGGAGGGATGGGGGTGGCATGAAACTTACACTCGAAATGGCCTCGAATTTACTCGGAAAGGATTCTTAGAAAATTCTATGAGCAGTTCATGATTCGGCGATACTACTATCTTTGACACGACGAATGACTTTAACGAGTTTCGACGAGAATCTATTAGTTGAACTTATCGGAAGGTGTCATCTAGCAGATACTGCCTTAGACGTGACATTATTAATAGTTTGACCAGTCTATTCGATCTAACTATACCCTAATCAGCCATGGAGTAATTGATGAGATGATGGACGATGGACAGTTCAAATAATTAACCCTTCGAGGACTCCCGAGATCTCGACGATTCCACGTATTTCTAGCTATTATCACAGTTAATTTGATTTCCTACTGGTAACTAATCAAACTTACATTCGAAGCGGGGACTCGAATAGCGTGAAAAATAATACGAAATTACAACGAAATAGAAGGCAATCGATTTACAAGACTCTTTTATGCGACCAGTATCGATCCGTCGAAGTTGATGGACACGTCAATCATCAACCAGGCATGTAGCGTTTCCGAACGGAACTATGGAAAAGAAATAAAAATCACCGGAGGATATGTGACTCGGCCGGAATCACCATAGCCGCGATATGACCGTGCAAAAGAAGCAAAAAGATTTATCAAAGCCCGTGTCCTGTTCTTGCTGCCGTCATTGCATATGCAATCCGCGGAGCAACTTATTCGATCGGAATATATTCCAAAGTCAGCCAGCTGTGTTGAATTCGTTGTACCGTTGCACGGCTCGTGTATCGTGTGTTCTACCATAATTAGTAGCGCTCAGTTAATCGATTAATGGGCGCATAGTTAGCCATTTAAATCGCAGAATCAATTTGCTCCAACAGTCGAACCGATTATTAATCTACTTGATCGAGTCTAATTAATTTATATTTAACATTTGATGGTCACACCGCGAGTCGCGAAAATGACCGCGCTCGGTCCATTGCTGACGTCATACATTTTTTAGACGTGTCTCTGCGATCCTTGCACTCTGCACTCGGATATAGAACGTAAAAAAATGAGGCGTTCACGTAGATCGTACACGGTGTATATTTACGGATCACAGTTGTTCCAAAGAAATATTACGGACACAAATGTTCCATCAAGTATAGGAAGTCGATGGTGGGAAACATCCCCTTTTACTTATCCCGTGCGTATTGTATATCCCGTAACAGGATTTGTCCGTGCGTAGTATATCATGAAAGTATTATCGGATTTCGATACTTGGATAACTTATGAAGCGTGAAAGCCGTTGTCTGATTATTGTCTCCTCCGAGACAGCGTTTCGATTCAATGGTGAACGGAACTTTTATGGACGATATGTTTATACAGCAGCCAGAGGTGATTGTTGGGGCTGTCGTCGAAACGCTTGGAAAATTGCGGAAACGCGCGAGACGGAATGGAATTCTGAACGAAACTACATCAACGAATAGGTATACCGTTGTCTGATTTATTGTTCCTCTATGAAACGATCCAAACGAACAACTGAGATTTCCGTCTACGAGGTTATCGTTACATTGCTTCTATATTCAATTTTCTCGTTAAAAGTAGGCCGCTCTTCTAGTAGGGCTCGTTTGCGCGAAATTAGGGGAACTTCACTAGGTGGCATGTGAAATTATGTGTGTCACAGAGACCACTACTAAAACACCTTAAGTCGTCAATTTCCAGAACGCTTTCAGTTCCGCAAGTTTGGTATTCTCTCTTGACTGTGCCGAGTTTTGGCACGAATTAACTAAGAATTATGTTCTTATTTATCATAAGTTGTGACTACGAAATTTACTACCGCGTTTACAACATGGTTATAGAGCGCCTGAATAAATTAGAGCAGTCCTGGCTTTCAGAGTTCACCTTTAACTCTAATTAATATTTGGATAGCAGGCCAACTATAGCGTACATTTTCGCTTTACTTTTGCCGTACTCGTTCTGATTTTAAAGCCGATAATTCGGCAATCTATTAAGATGTTTACGTAGATCGCGATACCTGAAGAAGATGCATATTCGGAGAAAGACAAAAAATACTTGTTTCGGTACTCTGTACTATGCTGTGATTTATCATTTCATATTTCTGTAAAATGTGCTATATTTATAGCTTTGGCGACGATACGAAAGAAATATTGAAACGTTCGCGTGCTGTGTCATTTCATGAAATGTGTTCTGTGATATCGAGGGGATTGACTTTTTACTGCGACGTTTCACAAATATAGAGAGAAATGTTTAAAATATGTTGCTTTGATCTGTTGAATGGACGAAATTTTAGAACGCGAAAATATTATAATTTTGTGTGTTTGACGTTGCTGGAATATTTGCCAATCACGAAAATGAATTATTGAAAATTTTGGAGCTTCAACATACCTTTGACAAGGTTTTTTTGCACAGTCACATTGCTTCGATCTGTAATAACATTTAGTAAAACGACAGGTATTACTCGACATTGCCATATTTCATTTGAATAGTATTGTATATTTCAGAGTTCATTGATTCTTTCATTAAACTTCATTGAAATTTATCGGGGAATCTGCTTTAAATTCATAATAAAGTTCTAACTGCGGATGAAACTCAGAAGGGTTGGCATCGATGTAGCTCTATTCTCTTGATCCGACACGCATTTCTGTAACTGAAGGAATATTATTGTGTAGTGTTAAATTTCACTCGACACTGACAATTTTATTAGGGAAAGCCTATAAAGCTCACGTCCAAGTTATTACAAGGGAGGCTGCTTTAAATTCGCAATAAAGTTCTAATTGCTGCCGACAAGCTGGTTAAAGCTCGATACTCGGATCGTTCTAGTCGCTGTCATGGGAGCTGATTAAAGCACGATACCACGGATCGTTCCTATCCAAGGAATACCCCGAGAGAACAGTCTTGTACTTTGGGTCAAAAATTGTGGTCACTTTTCCATTCTTTTATTACAAAAAGAAGCAAATGAATTTAAATGAAAATTGGTGGACCTCTGTTATGCATTTAAAAATAAGATAAAATAACTAACGCAAATGCTTTGACACGTGAGAACTCTTTTAATGCAGATAACGAGATATTCTACTAACGTAACATTTTGTTAGAATAACTTAACTGCTCCTTTGAAGGTAAAAGAGAAAAATATTTTCAAAATGTGGGAGAGTCGAAAAATATTGAGACGAAGTTGTTACTAAAGCCACTGAGAGAGGTAAACTGTGGATTTCTAGGGTGGAATGTAAACCTTCGCACAGCCACTTGTCGTTTGAATCCTAAACAAACACGACCAGTGACAGTTAAAATGTGACTGTTACGGTGTAGCGGTGAAGCAAAAGTTGCGACTGTAAGAACAATTTCTGAAAGCATAAATTACTTCTTTTTGACCAGGTTAAATTACACACCTATGCTGACCCCTTTAAAAAATTATTCAGATAGATCGTTCCTAACAAATCGATACAGAAGATTCGATATCAGGATACGAACATTTATGTGTCATGTATTTATTTTATGTATTTAGCTTTCGATAAAGCCAGCAAACAATGCCAGTAGTCACTATGGTCTCTGACAAAACAAACAAACAACGCCAGTAGTCACTCCCTAAAGATGGCGACTGTGTTTTAATTATTTACTCAAAGATTGTCACTGCGCAGCACCGAAACGATGGCGTTCGTTCGTTGAATAGGCGAAACCATTTGAGCATAACTTGATCCTTTTTGCAAACAAACGATACACGCGATTCATAGCGTCCGTGTACCTTGTTTCAGGGAGCAGCGAGCCGTGGTTGAAGAGCGAAAAGCAAGCCGAGCTAGGAACAGAGGTGCAGCTGCCCTGCGTCCTAAAATTGCCGCAATGCGAAGGACTTCACAGCATCAAATGGTATCGCGGCGCGACGCGTATCTTCATTTTCAGCGAGGATGGCGGAATAACACGCGGCAACGACGACATCTCTGTCAGGTAAAGTATATCTCTTTATCCATGGTTCTACGACGACGGAAACCCCTTATTAACGAGGGTCGCTCGCAAATCAGGGGAGGCTCGTGCCACTTAAGTTTTAGAGACACCGATATAACTCTTAAACCGCCACTGGCGCTCACGGTCCAGAGATTTTCATGATGACAAGATGAATCTGCACGACGAATGGTATTTTCCGTACAATATTTTATTCAAATGAGATTTCTTTTTAATAATTGATATTTATATTGGAGACTCTGGCAATTTCTGTAAGCGTTTATCAGTGGAATCCAGAATTCCATTAGTCATTCTAAGCGATCTACTTGTTCATATGGCACGTGCTTCGATTAATTTCTGGAGGACAAAACATTCCGTTTTTCTTTAACGACCCAATCGTCGACATTGCATGCACAGATTGGCAATTAAGAATTTTTGCAATCGCGTCCTTCAAGTGGTGGAACGGCCTTACCGCACAGCTTCATTGGACGTCGTGTCAATATCAGCGTTAATAGCATGACCATCACAATAAAGCACGGAGGAGAATTAATAATTCTGTTTGCCCGGTTTGTTTGACCAACGGTGTTTTACTCGTTAATGCCCGGCCAAGTTTGCGCTCCGTCCGCGAATATAAAAACACGTAAATTTACTGCGTGAAATTAAATATTCTATTTTCAATTATAAATGTACACACCGACGGATGTTTACCGGGAAAAGTTGGAAAAGTGTCGGGATGTTTCAATTCGCATTACACATGCTCGTGTTAAATTGCGATGAAAATGGTCGATACCATTCGATACGTACTGGCTCTATTTCCGGAGGCGCGCATATCGAGACACTAATAACGGGGAAATCGCATTACTTTAATTCGCGGAAAAATTATGCGGAAAACCGTTCTCCCTCGATCGACGATAGAGAACGTACGTTCGCGAAACAGCCGCGAAAATGAATATTACATTGAAGAGATTAAAACGACAGAATTATTATCGCTGGCTGCGGGCTCCTGAAAGCTTCCGACGACGGAAGGTAATTTTAAGGAAACTGAACAGGTGGTAATCCAGGATTAGATCCGGAAATGTAGGCCAAAAGGGACGGGGCACGAGCTCTATCCCAGTGACCTTAATTTTTCCTGAATACTCGTCCCCGAGCAGAGGGGGGCGATCTACTTGTCAGACTAGTCGTTCCTCCAAGAAATTGCAAACTTTAATATCGCCGTCGGAAACCACGACTCGGTGTTTAATCGTTTCACCAGTGGTGGATCGTGTCGAAATGGCAGCGATCTGGAACAAACTTTCCTCCACTTGCACGCTACCTTCATTTCCTCATTCGGAACTGCCCTAATTAAATAAATATAGCGCCCGACTACTTGCTTTCCCTATAACTTCTCAAATTTCGAAGCTTTAAAGAATCGTATGGTCTCGATTGTTTTTCCATGGCAATCTCGAGGACAGTTGTCTATAGAAATCAGAAATATGTTACTGATTTTGCATTCATTGGTCGAGATTTATCTATACTAATATTATAAAATGTTATAAAGTTTGTTTGTATGAAAGAGGTCATCTCCGGAAATACTGAACCGATTTTTTAAATTTTTTCCACACGGGTGAAACCGCGGGGTGCAGTTAGGCGTCTTTATAAAAATTGTCGTCATCTCTGACGCCAACGTCGCAACTGAAGCAATGTCGTTCTAAGGCTGACAGCGGATCCAACCAACCACACCACCTCGACACGCTGATCTTAATCGAGATTGAAAGCAACTTACAAGAAGCTATCCTCCACCGCCGCAGCCCCTGCTTGTCTATCAACCCGAAAAGCGAGAATCGACGTCGACATTCACGAGAGGAAGAACTTGCTCCGACGTGGTTAACCACTCGCAGGAGTAGGGGTTGGTAACGCGGTGTTGCCTCCGGCAATCCCCATCGAAAGACAGAGATGGCCAAAATTTTCTTCGAATAGTAAATCACAAATAAAACCAACGACCATTCGGTTACTTTCTCTGCGAACAATGGAAATTAGTTTGTTGATACTTCAAACAAATTTAGGATTTTAATCTACGAGTATTCCAAGAATCCGCGAAACAATAAACTCGATTCGTGTTGGAATAAAAAAAACCTAAAGGACCCATCGGAAAATCCTTTTCAGGAAATGTGAAGTACATTCTACTATCACCGCCGACAAGTTATTTCGATACCGGTTCGAAAGCTCACGGCAGTGCTTGGGAATCGATAGCTCTCGATATTCTACGAAGTATGCGATTGTATTGGTCCCATTACTAGGAATCTGTATTCCTGTTGGCCAGACTCCCATGCAACTCCTGGATCGATTCGTTTTAGGAAACGAAGAAACCAGAAAAGTGAGCGAAGTTGGTGGAAACTTTATTATCCTATTGGCCCGGTTTCCTTCACCGCGCATTGACAATTTTTCACGGTTTCTCGCCCCTCCTCGTTGAGTTATACGAGAGCAATAAAAATTCTCGAAGGCTCGCCCGATGTAATTGAAAACGTCAGCGTGGGTTCGGATGAACACTTATCACCCGACACCGTGGAATCGTCTGGAGAGGTAGAAAAAAAATACCGAGAAGGAACAGTGGATCGCTTTATGTTCATTTACATTTCGAAACTTTTATCGCCACAACCGGAAAACTCTTGGCGAACTTTTCTCATTTACCTCCATCCGATTTAATCGGTTGCCTTCTGTCCGCCTTACCTTGTTACGGGAACAGTTTTCGCCACGAGAGCCGGACAATTTTATAAACGCGAGTTCTACGAGACCGACAACGATTTAAGTAGGGTACGATTGGTTAGGTTTTGAGATCAGAGTTCAAAATTTATTCCGATACCGGTACCCATTTGATTCTCCGAGTCGGCTGCTTAGTCTTCACCGGTATTTATTTATTTCAAGCGTTCGTGCATAGAAATAAAAAATGATTTAAAGTATTTTCAAGCACCGAAACAGTATACAAATTCCCAGTCATAATCGCTGTAGGAAAGGAGAAAATATTAAGCGAAATATATTAAATATAAATGCATAAAAAGAGAAATCACAATAAAACATTTGAGGTAGGAAAACACTGTACTCGACGAAGGGAATTTTTCCCCGCAGTTTCGCGAGCTGTGTTGCTGGATTCAAGAGCAAACACATGGAAGAGTTTCCTATCCGTGTATTAACACGCTTCCGTATCCACGCCAATCTCCGTGAAAGCCTTTTTCTCAAAATATAATTTTGCGAAGCTAAGATACTTCCAAAGATACCTTAGCGCTGAAAATTTCCAAACGGCGAAAGAAAGTCTAAAATACACTCAGCGCTAACGAGGAAATTCATTTTTTCACATTTTTCGGATTTTCTGAAACTTTTCGCGTTTACCTTTCTCATCAGAAAAATTCATTTTTTCGTTTTATAGCGAAGAGCGAGATTTTTTCAGTTAAAGTACTAGGGCTGGCGAAAGTCTTGCGAATTCTTTTCAAGTAGAAAAATGCTTTAACTGACAAATTTTCGAGGATAAAATGAATCGGTAAAATTGTACAAGTAACATAGGTATGGTAGATACTTTTGCTTGTTGTCCACTTAATTTTCTTCTCGACTGTACGTCGTGAACTTAATATTTTTACGTATCAATTTTGGTAAATTCCGTTCACCTCAATTTACCGGTATATTCTTATCTCGTTCTGTTCCTCGCCATTTATCTAAAATTAAGCTCATATCTCATCCCTTTCCTCTCCATTTACCTGCTATTCTGCTCCTGTCTGCATCTGTCTCTCGTTTCGCGTCTGTTTCCCTTATTTTCTTACTTTCTTCGTCGACTTTTTGTCTCTTTCATTCGAAGGTACAATAAAAGAAGTGATTACAGCCGAGAAGAAAATTGCCTGGAACGACTAACTTCAAAGGCGTATTTGCCTAACGCTGCACTATTTCTTATGAATTCTGACATGAATCTTTCTCGGAAGGAGTTCAGCCAAGGAGAAAGGAACGAGGGTACGGCGATATAAACGATAGAGTCGACGTTCGTACTTTGAAGGTATTAAACTCCTGTTTGAGCAAAACTGCATCGAACTTTTGTACCGTGACCTTTCACCGTTGACTTTCATTGCACGGAGTTTTTCATAAATCGAAATAAAACTATTTCGTCTCTTTGGTAACACGACTCAAACTTCCACTTCCGCGAAGACATTTCTGTCAACATATAAAACGTAGAAGTTCTAAAGGAAACATCACATTTTCTGGTAATTCAATTCTTTAGAAACGTGTATATGGTCTTAAACGTACAGGAACATCTACGGCGTGCACGTGAACCATTAAAAAGTATAAAGCAAAGGATAACCGAGAGTTTTACTTTCTCGAGTCACTCGTCGGTAGCCCCAATATAACTCCAGCAAATGGTTATGGGTAGAATTAAAAACTGATCGAGAAGAGTTTCTTGGAAAATCAGAATGTTGTATAAAACTTTAGATCGAGGCAACTCAAGCTAAAATCATCATAGAAGAAAGCGTTCTTTCCGAACAGAGTTAAACTAAATCTAGAAAATATTTATCGTTGTTATCCCGTATAAATTAATTGGCAACTAAACGTGTCAGTGATATTACATTTGCAAAGCTACCAGGTGATGGGAAAATGCTCGTTGCCGAACATAGGAAATGGATTTTGTGATCGATTGGCTCGAAGTTGAACCAGTGGAATGCAGAGGAGGAAAACGCGGTTGATGGGAATGTTTCTGTAGAAAATGCTGGAAAAGTGCTCGATGAGTCGTGCTGCCGTAAAAGTAGAGATAACGCACGTTGTTACGTACATGTGTGAAGGTGTGTATCATTGCCAGGAAATTCGAGGTCAATATAAGGAGTAATTTTATCGTAACGAAACATTTAATTAGGCACTGTTCCGCTCGTGTCTTCAGAAACAAGTAATTATCTCCCTGCTTTATAAAGGATAATTACCTGGAAATTCGAGGAGGTTTGGTTGAAAGTTCACTTAGGGGTGATTCAAATTTCTTAATGAGGCGTGCACTTCGTTCCCGGAGATATTCGAACGTTCCATCATCGCATAACAAGCATTCCGCAAACTATTTTTGTTTACTATGTAGTTCGCGAACCAGTTTCCAGTTGGAACTATTCCAAAAGTGTTCATTTATTAAATACTTTGCTCCGATATTTTCATACGCAGAACGGCGGAACGATTCGATGCGTTGCAATAATAAATGTGGTGTAAATATTCTACACTATATTTCCCAATGAAGAATAAATCATGTTATATTTTGAAAATATAAAGTAAGTAATTTAATTACTCTTTATCCAACTTTTAGTTACTTAAAGGTGCACCGAAAATGATATAATAGACTTGTGATGGCAAAATCATCGTATCGCAAGTACCTTGGTTGTTTAGGAGAGACGGTAATTAAAATCTTGAGCGTATTATCGTGCTGTTGTGCAGTTTACGGATAATATGAATTACGACGGTGTAAGAAAGATTAAGGAATCGCTTCAGTTTCATTGTACTTCCCAGCCTATGGTATAATCCCGCTCTATCTCTGTTACGAGTTCATTAAATTGCAAGTTTGGCTTACGCGCCATACCTGTTTAAGACGGATTTAATCTTTTGTGGACGATTTCAGCTGGATAAGGACAATAAGTTCTATCCAGGAAGTGTTCCGGATTCGCGACTATGGTAACCAGAAAAGCTGTTTCAAACGATAGTTTCTCGTCCTGCAACGTCCCTGTTTATTTATTGTCATAAACGTACGAGTGAATAATATCGTTAAACGTCTTCTATCGCGTATACGAAATTAATTTACCGATGCCTATTTCATAGAAATCGGTCGGCTCATTTTCAAAAACTCGTTCAGTGTCAGTAAAATTTAATTTTGAAAAAGCTGTCTCAATCGTAGGTAGAGAAGTTGGCTATTGCAAAATAATTGGTGTCGGTTGACAATATTCAGTCACCTAACGCTGTGCACACAAACTTCTCGACGTGAGGAATGCCGACAATAAATAGATTATATAGAGGAACGCGTGGAAACTGTTTTACATACAGCTGAACATATCTGTACACCCGGTGCGTGTACTATTCCACTGGCAATCAACAGAGATGCATCGTATTAATGAACAAACGCACTAGTTAATAACAATTATCACTGCAATTCGGATATTGCCACGGTCGTGGGATACACGCCGCAGTCACGACGACTAAGCTTTCATGCTAACAAACTGAAACTGCGACACCGACGTAAACGCGATGCATTCAGAGCTACGATTCCGAGGGTGACGATAATGTAGCGAATTAAACAAAAGAACAGAACAAATTGTTCTCTACGAATAGTTTCAAATCGTTACGTTTTGAATGTTTCGATACGAACATTCGTACATGAACTTCTTGCTTTAATATGTCGAATAATACCATGAATAAAAATAGGATTGACAGGAAGCGATGGTAATCGAAATACGCGTTATTTTGTGGAACATTCTATTAACTCCGCTGGTACACGAGTCAACGCACTAGTACAAAGCAAATAAGATTTACGTTACAATCCTATTAATTTTAATGCCATTGTTTCCTTAGCGACATAACTAAAATACTATTGATTTAGCAGCATGACGATCAAATTGATTCGTTTCGTGTTCTTTTCATTATCCCATGTTAATAGGATTGCAAACGTGTCATATTATTAGCAATGAGCTTCATATAATCCATTTGCAAGTAAGACTGTTTATCGCTGTTGTTCAATCCGTCCTGATTGGAACACGTTTGATTGAAAATTGTTGATTTCATCGGAGCACATTATTGTGCAATCGTCGCTTTGATTATCATTTCCAGTCTAAGTTATCTCGGCGTGTATTAATTGTTCTTTTTTTTTTTTCGTTTTTTTGTATATTTCTAGGTCGGATATAGAGTACATGACAAATTCATCGAAAACTTTCTTGAAGATTACGGAAGTCAAGATAGAAGACGAGGGACTCTATAAGTGCGAGGCTACATACTTGGCAGTGAATCGCGAGTGCAACAACGTTCAGCATATCACACTCAACGTCACTGGTGAGCTTTTAATAACGTTTCATTTCATTATTAATAATTAAGGTCGTTCGTAAGCATCTGTGCAAATCTGAGGAAATTACGAGTAACTATACAGATTTTTATCTAAAAGTTTGTAAACGGTAATTCTGTTAATTTTTCAAATATAATCTCCACAAGGCACGCAAACGAATCTCTCTCGAAAGGACTGAACTGTTTCGGAACGATTTTGATGTGCGTCGATTTTCGCGCATCGCGGCTCGTACCAGCGTATAATTTAATTAATCGATTAAACACAGACGATATCCGGCAGTAAGATATGCCAGGAAATAACTCCTATTAGACGTATCGTACTTGTACGACCCGTGTAATCTGGGTAATCCTAGTAATTCGACAAACGAGAAAGCCGCAGTACTAATCCGAAGTGGTAGCAGCTAAACCACTGAACCGGTTATCTTGACACACGCAACATGTCATACTATTAAAGTGCGGTTGAATTTACCTACATGAAAGGGATGCCAATTACTTTGATATTTTAGACAGAAACCGAGATACCACTCGACGTGGTACCATCAGAGCAACGAGCCTAGCCGTGACAAATATCTCTTTGAATAACGATTTGGAATCAAACGTGGAAGACTGCTTGAGTGACGTTGAGCTCGATAAACGTAACCTTACAATTATTTTATAATGAAAGCAAAATGGTACCGTGATACGTACTAGGTGATCGAAGAAGAGCTCTACACCCAGGTCTTTATGCAAACGACGAATACAATGGAAAAGGTAATCGAAACCGTTCAAACAACCCTCGGTTTTTTTTTTTCATTGCTTTCGCTTAATGGAGGATTCATTGCATATGAATATCAAATTTTAATAAGAGTTCATCGCATAATTTGCATTTCAATTAGTCGAGACTTTCATTAGACCTCCCGCCACATTGTTGATTCGCCTTTTCATCGATGAAGACCGAATACCTCGTACTCGAGATATTTCGACGAAAGAATACTCGGCTCGTCGACGTTTAAAACTAATTTCCAAGAAATTCCTGAATTCTTTTAAATTTTTCGATCGCTGTTCCTGACAGATTTATCTCCTTTCTTTCGTACCGGCTAGATTCATCGTTCCATTCGAAAGTAGAACAGATTGGATAGAACAGTGTTTCTCAAAGTTCGTTTCCACGGGGACCCATCGATAAATGAAAACTTTTCACAGACTCGCTAGAGTGGAATTAAAACGCTATTCTTCCAACACATGTTAACATCGATTTGGAAAAACCAGTATTCGTGTACGAAAAATATTCACTAAGGTTGTCCATTACTTCTACCGATTGATTTTTATCGTCACGAAGTTACAGTCGTCTCCGTCGGCGCGTTATTTATTGGAATATCGAACCGCTGTTAATTTATTCTCGACGCTGTTATCGATTCTTCGCCAGGGCAAACAAGAATTATTATTCTCCAAACAAGTTTTTCGCCACGTTTCGTCGACACCTGTCCGCACTTCGGCAGAATCCCCTCAAAAGAAAATAATCGACGACGACCAGCCCACCTGGGAGTTCCTCGTCCGTGAAAAACGTAGACCGCGGAAAGACTGGCCGAAAAATTGAAAAACAACGAGACGCCATTTCCACGTGACGCCTGACAGCGACGAAACCCGTCAAACGTAGATTTCAACGGAGCCTTTCGTTCTTCGCCCTGTTTTTCTACACGTAGCCATCCACTTTATTAAGCCACTAATGAGGAGGTGGAGAGAGAACTAGTCTCGGCGCAAAAAGTTTCTCCCTCTCCAGAAGTTTAACCGTTCCTGGGAAATTTTCATTTTTTCGGGTTGCAATATTAAGGCGGAGAAAAAACAACGAACCCCAACTTTTACAGAAGCTCGCGAAGCTAATTTTCCCGTCAAACGCATTGCTCGTTTGTGATAGCGAGTAAGAGCCGTTGGAAATAAACTACGTCGTATCGGCTCATCGAATGGAATGTAAATGTTGTTTTAGATAAATAGCGATACAGAATCGCGTTGAATTCAATTTTGGTAGAAAATCCCCGCCAACAGTTTCCGTTATCTAATAATTTTGCAAGGTAATTGGTTCAGTTCTGAGCAAGGAAACGAGTACACCATCGGATTGGTACCATAGCTAGTCGCATGGAAAGTCGATTACGTCTCGTGCAATTCGCTGCTCGCCCGTGGAGCCCTTTGAAAACAGTTTCAATAATACCATGGTCGTGGAGAAGGTCGAATCGATGTATCTACCCCCAGTTTGAATTAGAAGGGGCCACGACGAGAGCACGTCCAATCAGAAGTATTCTCGAGCCGATCGAAACCCAATGACCCAGAGAGCAGCCTGAAATCCCATAATTTCCAGCAGGTAGAAGATCTAATTGGATTGGCCGCGAGACAAGTAGCCCTTCCGTACAATTTAAATAGAGGTTGAATGGGTACTCCGCATAGTTCACAACCGTAACAGATTTCACTAGTGAAACCGTAAGTTTCACTGAATTACGAGATTACATTATAATTTCATCTCCGCGATACATGGGGGAATATTCTTTTCGTTCTTCTATGATGGTTCCTCTATTTCAAGTAGACTACTTTAACCATTTGCACTTGACGATTTTTAACACCAATTACTAACGAAAATAATAAAATTCCGAAGCTGTACATCGCACATTTGTATCGTTAGGGCGAAGATAAAACTTATAAAATACGATTTTCATTATTTGAAATAGAAGCCAGGAATAGAATTTGAATTTGGTTAGAAATGTGTTAAACAATGCGGGAGACTGTTCTATTTTAACTCGTGGCCAAGAGTAACTTCTCTTGTAACTTATGAAACAGGGAAACAGTGAAATAACATACCCGTAGGAAATTGTTCGTGTGCTTTTTCTCGAAAGAAATTCCGATTTTAATAACCACGGATCTCGTCATTCACCGAGCCGATTGAAAGAAAATTTGTCTGTTCCCCTAGTGAATCTTGTTCGGTAAATGTTAACGCGCAGATGGGAGCAACGTTGGAGATGAAACGTAACAGCAGGTAAAAGAAACGCCCTGCGTACGCACGAAACGAGTTTCAAGTTTTCAAATTCCATCCCGCATTGAAATCGCGGGTTCCTTTACCCGCTCGTTTCCATGGAAGGAATATGGAAAACTTCCAAACAGGCATTAGGTTGATGTACAAGTTCCACCATACGTTGCCGGCGAGTTACATATACAAAAGTTGAAACTCTTCTGTAATAAAATCGAACCTGACTCTCCATTATACGTACATATATTTTTTAAACATTATACAGCGTCCGATAGGTAGGAATATTTCAGAGCAAAATGGACCGAGTCGGTATCGTACGTATTTGTCCAAAATGTGAAGTCTCGTGATGTGTTAACACGTTCATAAAAGGAAATGTAAGTATAATCATATATTGGAGAATTCAATGCAGTTTGGAATTCATTATTTAAAATACATTTTTCAAACGAATGGAAGTAGATTAAAAAGTAATATTATTCTCGCGAACGGAAATTTAAAAGTTTTAACATTCTTTCTGAAAATTTTCAGTCGCTCGCGGTTCGTTATTCTCGTATACGTGTATAATCTGAAAGTCTGTTCCTTTGAAAGTAAATCATTTAGAAATTTTAACTAAAATCTTGAGAAGGGTCCAAAAGCAGTAGTTGGAGCATTGGGATCTTTCTAGGAGATTACGGAAACGTGGAACCTATTTTTTTATAGAATCGTATCCGCGTAGCAAAATAACGAAAACTGTTCATGCGAAACGTACATCCGATAAGCTCCCTCGTTTTATTTATCAGCAATTTTTGAAATATTCCCGGAAACGCCTACGGGTCTGTAAACTGATATACATCACCCCGCATCCTACTCTTGCTGAATACTATTAAATGTCGTATCAACATTTGCGTTGCATTGTGTTCAACGTTTGATATCGATTGAACTAAAAATGGTTACGCCATTTATGTTACACCAGCTACACTGTACAGCTTCTTATTTTTTTGGTACTAACAAGTAATCATTCGTTGTAGGAATTATTCATTCAGTGTACCAATTATATTCTTTTTAGGATTAATAACACAAACAAGTCGTACGTATTCTCTGTAATTTAGAAGACTAAACGAAGTACGCTAAAGATTAGGTTTAGGTGAAATCCGATTAAGAAAAGAAAGAAGGAAAGTTTCAAGTCCTCTATTCAATGGAACTTTTTCACAGACAAACACGACATTCTTTCGCAAGCATTGCCCGCAGAAACTCCTTTTTTAACCGACTTCGAACAAGAAGACAAACTGTTACTATTCTTTTTTCGAAATTAAAAAAAAAAAACTGAATAAAATTAATTTCATTCCGTCGCTCTTATATTTTCACTGAAAGCACTCGACAGCGCCGGGGTAAAAAAGACCGAGGAAGAAACGGGCTTTTTTTAAGGTTCTAGAGTCGAAGACACCCTTAAACGTTCGCAGCAACGGTAAATCGATCCCCAATGGACGCTGGGTACCCAGGTTGGAAGTTCTACGAACGGCTTCTCGTTTCCTGGGGGGCTGACCTCGGACTCGCAGTAAAAAGTTACAGCCTTCGTCGGGCGTAAATTCGCGAGATGAATTTTCAGGGAAAACAGTTACTTGACATTCAGTAGCTCGCGTTGAATTCAAGGGGGCCAATGACGATGCGAGCCTGGGCTTCCGGAAGCAGCACTTGCAACGCGTTGAAAAGTTTTATTCATAGCCCGAGAAAAGATAGTCCGCTTCAATTCTCTACTTCGTTTTCAAACCGGACTCCCTTTGGTCTCACTGGGCGCGACTCTTTCCCCACAATGAAACTCCTCCGGCGAGGGACTTGAATTAAAAACTGGATTCAAACGTCTCTGCGACGGCGAAACTCTGAGAGATATTAAAATCGAGAGAAACGCGCCTCTCTAGCCAACCAGGGCCCGCGGCACGAGAGGAGACACCGAACATCTTCTTATTATGATTTTCCGCGGGGGACTTCGCGGCACGATTTACGTGTCAGTGGCTTGGCTTATGGTTGTCTTTCGATGAACGAGTTATTCGGGGTAATTCGAAGACACCTGGTTCGTCCGGTTCCGATTTTTTAACGCGCTCCGTGCCAAGCCGTTTTTGCCCGACTTGTCGATTAAGCCATTTGATATTTTCACTGAAGATTGATATATGTATTATCATACAATATTTCATTACATTATCAATCCATAAGTAGTTACCTTGTTTAAAGCAGTACAAAGAGAAATTCCTCTATACAACGTACTCCTTTTCTCATTATTTAATTGAAAACTGTTTCTTAATTGCTATTGTGGCGAACTACGTAGAAAAGAGCGAAAGTTAGACTCTAGTTTTGGTTTCCCGGGGCTGGGCTTTGTGTTTTTAATAGTTTGAAAATGTTTCATTTTTGCGCTGAATACGAATGATTTGCATTGTTTTTTTTTTTTTTTTTACGGATACGCGAACATGTTAGTATTATATTCCGTACACGCAGTTCTTTCTTGTTAGGTTAACAAACCACTGAAATGGTGATCTCGAGAGGAATTAATTTTGCTAATGAAATAAAATTATTCGTTGCTCGCCAATGGAAAATTAATTTATACATTGGTTCGTCGACAAAATGTCCTCCATTTTTCCGCAAAATGGTACATTAAACAAAATTCAATTCGAGTTAATGTACAGAACGTAGCGTGGTTCGTTCGGCCAAAAGAATGCCCTGTCAAATATCTGTTAAAAACGTCGATATTTATTAATTGAACGAATGAAATTAAGAGCGATACAAATTTGTAAATATTTCAAAAGCTTTTAATCTCTCTAGTATTTCGCAAAATACTATGTAAATATGAAATTAGATACGACGAACAATAAAACAATAATACATTTTATTAATGTCTTTGACTATAAAAATTGTAAACAGGTTAATTAATTAATATTTCGTCCTTATAACATAGATGAAATTCCTCATATGTGTACAGATGTACAAATCAAATCAAAGGGTGCCAGTCTTGTAACACGGTCGTTCCTTGTTGAAGCACGTCACCATAATATACATACTTAACATAAACACGGGACAACGAATACGTTTGTATACTTAGTTGAAGAAAAATTTTCAATTCTTCTACGAGAACGTCACCTGGTTAAACGTGGTAACAGTTACCAGAGCACCTTCTGCTCGCAAGTGGTCTCAGATCGCTTCGATTTTCTTCTTTTGCGCGAAAATCGATGAACAACGAACGATGAAACGTAAGGACTGCACCGTAAGCGACCGTGTTTGCTGAATAGCAGTAATAATAGTAGGACGAATCGAAGCCACTTTTTACCCGCCTAATTGACCGACTTCCGATTCAATCCTGCCGTTTCTGTTCCAGTGCAACCTGCATTTGTACGTGTCATCGACGAAACTACGAAGAACACGTTAAGCACCGGCACCACTTTAGGACCAATAAACGAAGGTTCGATGGTTTCCTTGTACTGTGAGAGCGGCGAAGGAAAGCCAGTGCCTTTGGTCGAATGGTTTAAAGGCGACCAACCGCTAGAAGGTAAGATTTAAGAAGTAATTTCGGTACCTTACGGTTTTACATCTATACAGAGTTTTACGATTTTCACTTAGTTCTTATAAAGACTGCTACATAAACAGTTCTGTGCTATTCCTCGTGTTTTTGTTTACTCCCTGCTCTGCTTTCTAAAGACAGTTCATAGTAATTCAACATTTAAACGTCTGTTAAACGTCTGTCTACTATTAGGAGAAAGTGTGGCTAGCGCTGGAAGTAGTTACGCCTCGTATTGGGTCAGACGCTTCAATCAGACAGACGTGTCGCAACGTTTGCGTCTGACCAAGAGTCTGACGCGGTCCACGCGGTCCACGTTCTACTTACCGATATAATCACGTTTTACTCGATCGAAAGCAGACCTTTACCCCTATAGTAAATAACACTTGACAATTTTATATTTTTCTACTCCTAGTATAAGTAAATCATATATAATCCATGCGTAGATTTTTTAATAATAGAGGCACCCTTTCCAAAAGTAATACTTTTATTTATTTCAATACTAAATTTTCTTCTACGGGGAGAGAGATGACCGTAACGACGTCTGCGATCTATAATGACAAAGAAAGCAATCACACTCGTCGGGGAAAAAGTTCTGAGTGACAGACATTTAATGGTCAAGAAGATTGCCCCGAGAATCGATCTGTCTAAAACAACTGTCCCGATGATTCTGCAGAAATTTATCGTAAACATCGTATTACTTATTAAGCACCGGAAATATCTCTCGGACGATCAGTTTTCATCAATGTCCGTCAAATAATTGTTCAATATTAAAAAAACCCTTTTTCTTCTTCAATCGTAGTTGTTTTTTTTTTGTTAGAACGCGATCCTATAATAAATTAAACTCAGGCCACGAGTAAAATGCTGAGTAGTTGCAACAGCTACGCACATTGTCGAGACAGATAATTACACATCTGTTTGTGAAAGCCGCCATGCAACAAACAAACGCAAATCCTGGCCTATTGTGTATTGTGCTCGTAGGGGCACTCCGCCGATTGGCGGCGACATATCGGTTTAAGGCAGACGAGAATCTTCTCTAAGAGATGTCCCTTTCGACCAGATAAGAGATTCCGGGTAACGTTACACCCGTGGAGTACAAACGTCTCTGTGTCTCGTTCCCGCTATTCTTTTTCGCTGAGAGTATAACACGAAGGGCGTACGCGGCTTTAGGTGTCTCGGTGCTCGAAGCTCGGCACAAGCGCGTTCCATACCTCAAACTTGATCTAAAAACACAGCTAAACGTGTCTGCTCTTGTGTGTTCCAGCAACTAGTACGACAACGGTCGCTGACAACGGTGTAGGCACCGGGAGTAGCTTACTGCAGATGCATATCACGCGTGACGAGCTGGGCGCAACTTTCACGTGCAAAGTTAACAGCATAGCACTCGTCGAACCACTCACCGTCGACGTCAAACTGGATGTTCACGGTAAGTTTGGCAGATGCATACATCAGGGTACTCCTGCGATCGAAGATTTTTCGAGAAAATTTTGGGATACCAAATTAAATCTACACGAAATCCGAAAATCTGCAAGTGACACTATCGAGATTGAGAATTGGTCACACAAATCTGACTCGTTGCATGCGTGAATACATAATATGATTAGATTATAAATTCTGATTTCTCCTTCCGAGATTAATATCTCTCCACCCATCGTCAAGGAGAGTTTCAGATTGCGATCAATTTCTGTCCGAGATGATTGTAAGCGACGTATGATCTATAAAGTGCGAACGAAGTCAACAAGTATCAAGCCTTAGTGAATTATGAGCCATCTAGTTACAGTCGTAAATCACGTTGGCCGTGACTTCGCGAAAATCTTCCTCCTCGTAACCGTCCGTTGAAACTAAAATCGTTAAATTTCGCGTGTGCGGGATTCACGTAGGGTCTCCATCCTAGTTTCCGTCGAAGCTGCGATTCGTTCTTGTTCCGTTCGGTCAACATTTTGATTAAACGCAAGAATTCAGTCTGGCGTGGAAGATTTTTCACACAGTGACGTCTCGAAAGTCACGTTCCTTTTTAATGAATTCCCAGCAAACAGACTTTCCTTTAATCTGATTTCCTCTAATTTATTCCTGTCAGTTTTCTTCCGCTTGATTAAATCTTGTCCGATCCGTTCCTTTCAATTTCGCCACCCTTGTTTCAATTTTGCGTCGTTCATCTCTGCCATGTCGTTTTCGTACGTTCGCAGAAATACCGTTATTTCGACGCGATCCTTGAATTATGAGACGCGTTTACCGTCTAACTCGATCCTCTGGGACGCGATAAGCGTTTCGCGACGTGTACTCGTAAAAGCAGCTTCCCGATTAGCGCATAATGCGTGGCACGGTTGAATTGCAACTGGAGGAACGTGGTGAATCGTAAGACGGAGATTGCAGCTGAGAGCGTTAAAAATTATATCTTCGTTCCGACGCATTTTCTTGTTAACTAGAGGCACTTGATGAAGACTTGTTTAGCCGAAAAAAAAAAGAGAAATTATTCAGAGTTGAGAATGTTTAGTCGGGAATCAAACTCGTCGAGAGGCTTCCTAGTTTTAATGGAGGAAATGTCGCGGAAAGCTTAGTTATTTCATATTCGCGCACGTAATAGTTTCTTTGCTTCGTTTCCGGCATAATTCGTTCCCTTACTTGACACTAGAACGTGTTTCGCGTGACGTAACATAGTCGTCGCTGGTGCAGCAGAGTCGTCATTTTACGTCCATATAAATAATTCAAGAGTTGTGGTTCACTTTCACGCGTCTAGCACGATAGTTCTGCGAAACGGGCCGAGTAAAACGAATACTAAACTTTGAATTTATTTCAAATTTATCGCGTTATCTTTCTTTAGTAAGTATTCGAGTTCGCTGCACAAATCGATTAAATTTGATATCAATCTAAACAATTCAGCGAAAATGTTAACGTGCGAAGTCGTCGGATTATAGTCTTAGTAGGAGTACCAAGTCTGATTGGGAACAGTAGCCCTGCTTAATCAAAGTAGTCTGGCATGTTGCAAATTTGAATTAAAGATACAGATCTTCAATTTCAGCAAAAGATAAGATAACGGCGCTGTAATGCGTCGTATCGTATCAAGTATCTGGAATCCGGCATGGCAATGCGGCATTGTAGCCCTTGTATTAAGTAAGGATCACTACATAGTACCACGCGAAACGTCTGATCTATATCACTCCGTAACTGCTGTGTGGAATTATCGAACGGTTGGCATTGTGTGATTTAGGTTGGAATTATCGATAAGTAATACATAATGCCACGCAATGTCACAGGAATATCAATATTAGCTATCGTCATAGTTCATCTCATTATATATGTAGATCCTGAAGTCGGTGCTGCTTTACCTCGTATTTCCTAACAATAACAGTAATAAGCTTCGACGAAAGATCTGCCAGAGATCAAGAGCCGAGAGAAAAAGGGAGACCGGTTCGCCGCATCTGCGATCGCAACTTGAACTTTTAATCCACTTGCCCTTACGATGGAACGAGCTCGGTTTTGTCCTTTTTCTTTTCGTCCTCCAACTGGGTATAAGTTTGCAAAATTTACGCCAGAGAGAGAGAGAGAGAGAGAGAGAGAGAGAGAGAGAGAGAGAGAGA